CTGAGAACATTGATTACCCCAAATGTGGCAGAAAGGTTGGCAACTTGTCATCTACTGGTATTTGCTATAGTGAAATCTATTTTTAATGACATGTGATTTCATCAGTATTGGTACTCCCTCCGATGATGCAGATTGGTAGCCATCTCTTAGCTGGGCTGTCTCTCAGAAGGAACTCAAGACTACTGTCTCTCACTGGACCTGTGATCAGCCTTTCTAGCTTAGGTTGTCCAACCTCCACACCACCTTGAGGCACTGGAGTTTGACTTCTTGTATGCAAACTTGGTGAGAGAAATTTAGAGAAAAAAGAAGGCAATCAAACAAATTTCCCTGGATCAGCAAACATTTGTGCTCAATCTACTCAAATTCTGGGATTCTGCAGCAGGTAAGTACTGTCCCAAATACTTCTTTTTTCCTTTCATTTATTACATCCCTATTGTATGTAGATTAAAAAAAAAAGATGCACACTCTAATATGCAGGACACAAAGGGTTCTTTTTTCTTTTCTAATTTGTCTCTACAAGCACATATCTCTAGAAACAATAACTAGCACTCTATTAGTGCTCTAAAGTTTGCAAAGCATTTTATAATACATTATCTCATCTAATCTTTTACAACAACCCTGTGAGGTAGGTGCATTATTATTATGCCCATTTTAAGGAGTTTGAAACTGAGCCTGAGAGATTAAATGACTTGCCCAGGGTAACACAGCTACTAAGTGGTTAAGGCAGGATTTGAACACAGTTCTTCCTGATTCCAAGTACAATGCCAAAAAGAGGGATGTGTTTATGTTATATGGATGGCCAACAAATCTGTCTCAAGCCCTGAAAAAAACTCTTACATCCGTTAGTCCTATCACTTTGTTAAAAACTTTTATAAATTTCTTCCTTTTTCAAACTGTGATTGTTTATTACATGTACAGGGAGGGACACATGCTTTAAAAACCTGACAACAGATTACATTTTTGGAAGAACCACTGGGAGGTGGTTTTTCTTCCAAGCTTTCTGCCCTTTTGCATTTTATTCATCAATAAGCAGCTCTGCTAATGTGTTCCTGTTGAAATAAAATTTAAACTGATGACTTTGTTCTTACTAGTAACTAGTAGAAAATATAGTGATGGTTTAAGAGGTAGCCAGGATGCTTTAAAGGGTCCATTTCAGCTTGTGATCCTTCTCATTCTGCCCATAGAAAGTAACTTCTGTAAGTCCTTTATTTAATTGGTTTGCATCCACATACTGCCCTCATAGGTTTTGTTTACATAGCCTATCATACAATGTGCTTCCACAATTCTGTGTCTTTCCAAAGCATATTTCTCTTGAGATTTGATATATGACTTTCATGTTTAATTACCATATTAAACTCAATGCTCTGTTTCCTCCAGCTTCAACCAACTTCCCTTCTTGGGGGTTGGGGAGTAATGCATAGCTTCTTGCTATTTCTGAACATCAAAGAAGGTTTGTTTTACTGTACTAGGAAAATCATCAACTCGACACTGTTTCCAGGCAAGCAGTGTTAGAAAGCGCTATTCAAAATGAAATATATTCTCTCTTGTAGAAAGAAACTGGGTTTTCTGTTCTCAATTGGCAAAGCCAAACCCTTCAGGTCACTGACTTACAGTCTAACAGAAGAGGATTGTAAATAGTGCTAAATAGCAGTTGACCTGGCACATAAAGCACACAGCTAGACTGAAGCTAAAAGTTAAGACACATGAAAATACAGGGGACAACAATCCCAGAGTTCTTAGAACAAGTCTAAATTCATTTTCAGTTGTGAGTCTTCTTAACCATACAAATCACCACATTGGGCTTTCAAACACTTGTCGACTATGTATAGACACAAAAATCTCATAGCTATTCCCTCCAGATTTCTAAGACAGATGAAAACCTCAAGAAAATAAAAATCTAATCAATCCTCTAAACTAGTTAAGTATATAAAATCAAATCTTTTCAATAACAAAATTCACCTGGGTATGCTTTAGACCAGGAATTCTCAACTTGCTTGTGTATTATGGGAGCTTCCAATAATCTCATTAAGCCTATGGACTCCTTTCTCAGAATAATATTTTTAAATTCATAAAATAAAATACATAACACTGCAATGAAAACCAAATACAGCTGAAATAGTTACCAAAATTATTTTTTTTAAAAAGTTCACAGGCCCCAACTCAAGAAAGAAACTCTCCCTTTGAAGGAGATTTGCAAACAGTTTTGACACAAACAAGTTTTCACATATATATATATATATATATGTATATATATATATATATATATATGTGTGTGTGTGTGTGTGTGTGTGTGTGTGTATATATATATATATATATATATATATATATATATTTCTAAGTTATCTATCTCAGTGTATGCTCAATTTTTTTTGGAGAGTCTTCCCAAATTTTGACAATGCAAGCTTTCCTTCCTTTCTCCTGAATCCCATTCTAGAGTCCAAAACTCATTTATAAAACTGGCTGAACTTTGGCAATAATGTCTGCATAAACTGGGCACTTTGCTACAACAGTGCCTAAATATATATAAAATTTGACTTTGTAATCATTTCCTTGATGGCTAGTCATCAACTTGAATGCTTATTTTTCTAATTTTTTTTTAAGGAAGACTGTCATCTTCCTTTATTTAAAAATCTTTCTTTGTCAGGAACAATCCTACAGCTGCTCACTACATTAAACAGAGCTAATTTGCTTTCAGTGTTTGGTGAACAATAGAGGATTTGAACCTGTCAAAGTCATACATTTAATTGTTCCAATATGCTACCTTATTCCTAACCACATAACGTACATGGAAGAGTATGATTTGCATGATATAGAATGTCAAAAAAAAAAAAGGAATTTTCAGTTTTCTTTTTCATGGTGCCCTCCCTACTAAGTTAATTTAAAGTAATAATTAGCCATTTCTCAATTTGAAACTAGTTGAATTCTTTCCTCAAATTATTTAAATTGATATTAAAAGAATAAATACACTTTTAATCATTATTTCCCATAAGAATTGTCAAAGTACAGATCTTTGTGATTTTCAAGGCCTACAGATGTTGTCAATGATAGGCATAAAAATTAGCATATGAAAAAAGTATTTCTTGTGGACAAAACCTTTGGTCATAAGAGTGAGGATGTGTGCCTGTACAGATGTTAGAACTATTCACGTGATAAATACTTACCTTTAATACAAGAACTTAATAGCACGCCTTTAATTTGGATGCAAACATTTAATATGAATCATTTTATTTTGACAATAGCAGCTCAATATTTCAGTTTGGTACAATGTTTCCAGGTTTTATTTTACAATGAACCTAGTGGGTTTCTTTCTTTCTTTCTCTTTTTTTTTTAAAGCTGTATTCCAGACCTTGTACCATAAGAACAAAGTTTCTACAGGCATTCATATTTCTGATTTTCTGTCTGGAGAATTTTATCTACATGAGAGCCTAATACGATACTTTCCACAAAGTGAGCTTTCGATAGTACTTAATAACTGACCAGAGTAAATTAAAAGAGTCCTAATGGATTTTGTGATGAATATAATAATAATAAATTTTCCTCTCAACTTAAAACACTTTTTATACTGCGTTTGTCCATTCCAAATTCTTTTTTTAAGTGTAGAAATTGGTTAGCAAAACAGGCATTTTATATACTGCTTTGAGTCATTTTTTGCTTATTGGTGGAAAGGTAGTTCAGTTAGGACAATACTACTTTGCCTTTAACTGACTGCCTCAATAAATCAATATAAGCCTCCCAAATAAATCAGATATTTTTATCTCAAGTAATTGACATCTTGCAATTATTAGCCCCAAAACACAGGCTGAAAAGTCTTCTATAATAATAGATTTCACCTATTAGTGAAGCAATAAGCTACAACCTACACATTTCAGATTTATAGAGTCACATCAATTTAAACAAGATTCATAAAGTCATACAATGGGAAAAAAAAAAGGTGCTTGCAACTTAATGCCTAGGAAGAAAGTATGACATTCCATTCCAAAACCACCATAAAGTTCAAGTAGAACATTTCAGGATTCTTCATAATGCTAATGAATAGGATGTTTTCCAATTTTAAAAATAAATACCAAAAAAAAGAAAGAAGAATAAGGGAACTATTCTGGTGGTATTTTTCCTAAAAATTATTTTTTCCTTGGATTAAAAAAGTGCATTTTTTCTATAAACCATTTAAAAGAGAGAAAGGCAATTCCTCTTAAACAGCTCCAGAAACCCTCGAATAAAATATTTTAGCCAGTAAGACACAAAACTAAGTATATAAATGGCTAATATTCCTCATTTGGAGAAAAATATTTATGGGCTCTGTACTCCCACTACTGACTTGAGTGTAAATTTTTGTGTTAGATAGAGAATAAATGCTTATGAAGATCTCTATCTTTCTACCTTCCACAAAATAATATTAATAACAATACCAATAAATAATATTTGTCAATAACCTAACAATAATAACATCACTTAATAATATAACAATAAACATATTTAAGGAAAAATAGCTAGCATTTACTTAGCACTGATGTTTGCAAAGCATTTTGTATGTGTTAGTCTCAAAATACTTTTTTAAAAAAAAACAACAACAAACTAGAGAAATCACAGAACTTTTTCCATTGGATGAATCACTTCAGGATAGACCTGGGCCAGTGCATAGGGAGGGATCTGTTAAAGACAAATCACTTGCTTCCTGGTGTAGGTTACACAGACTTAAGTTCTCCAGAATGTTTTTTTAGGTACACCAGAAAGAATAATATACTATTTTAAACAATGATCGCTCCCCACCCCCACCCAGCTTTTTAAATGGAAGTTCTACAGATATTCAGTACTTATAAATGTCCACTGCAGAGCTATCAGGGATCTCTAGTGAACATCCCAAAAAGTTAATAACACTGTAGTTTAAAAATCTCCTGCCCAGTCTGCTTAAAATCAAAACTGTACTTGAACTGATGAAATTACTCTTTAGAGAATAACATAAATAAAATATACTCAGAATAACATTGTAAATGTAAACATACCTGAACCAGAGTCATATTTGGTTTCTGAACTGTAAAGAAAAAGAAATTTCTTACATTATAAAAATGGTAGGGTAAGTAACAGTTATTTATTTTATGAGAACAAGATGTCATGGTTATAGATTACTGTACTTTTGAGAACCAAGTGGAACACAGCACACTGAGAAGCAAACACATATTTACTTTAACTATCTGAAATATACTCCTTACCCTAGGGCCCTTATGGAGACACATATTCATACAGATAGCACAATATGGAAAAGATATTAACTTTTAGTTTGTTTTGTGTGGGAAGGGGAGGGAAGGGATGATGCAAAAAGCATCAGAGCTCTTCAGTTTCATGGGTTTCCAGTAATGTAATAAATAAAGGAAAAGGAATACCAAAAAAAAATGGACAACCATCTTTATTATTGTAGATTTCCACTTTATCAACATGAAGCATTTTTCTTTCCAAGCACTTAGTACACAGCAAATGAACCTAGGAACCCATACATTTAATAAGAGGGAGGGGAAAAAAAATGAGCCCTGGTGGGAACATTACATTTCAGATATAGGTTAATACTGGCTGTAAATCGAGAAGCCTTTGAAGCTCTCAATTGAGCTGTGGGAAAACTTCGGTTGGGTAATTACTCTCAAGATGCAGCTGATGTTCTGTCAAGCAGAATTAACCTTGTGACTAGGCCTATCTGCACAGGCTACTATAAAACAGCATTGTCTATATCGAGCACACAAACCAATTAGCAGGCATGCTCCAGTCCGATTTATATTGCACATTAACAATCCTTAGTACATATGTTCACAGCTGCCATCACAAGATGCAAGGACTGACCAGCAGGAGTCCCGTTCAAGGATGTTACATTGACAGAGAAGATTTTCTGGGGGAAATACAGTTTAACTAACAAGGAAAATATTTTTTCCTCAAAAAAACAATGCCATGGTATCAGTGTACTTTTGAAAGTCATTGCTTTCTCTATCCAGGTTCATTTCAATAAGTCATCAAAGAAAGAAGGGGGTGGGAGGAGGGGATAATAGGAAGATGCCCCGGTCATTACTGTTTCTACATATCATGCTTTTAAATTACTAACATGAATGAATACATTACATCAGAATTCATCTTCTCAAGCATTTCCCAAAAGATTTGCTTTGAACAAAGGCAAAATTTGGAAAGATCATTATTTTAACCATGGCCGTTGCAAGATGCCAAAGTCACTATATTCTTCTGAATGAATGTCAGAGAAGCAAGAAAATCAATAATGCCTTTCCCAAACTTTCTTTAAAGTGTTAATATATCAAATAGCTACATACCTACTTCCAGATTAGGAAGATAACACCAAAACCCAAAACTGGTTTTCCTCTCAAAATTTTCTCAGACATTATGTATTTAGTATGTGAATAGCTAAATGTTAGCTATCATAGGAACAATATAAAATAAGCACTTATAGTAGAGAGAATAACACAAGACAACATCCTAACTAAAGAAGAACACTATAAGAAATGATATGTGAAGCACTGACTGTTTAAAAATGTTTATGTATCCTTTAAAAAAAAGTCACTTCCCAACAAAACTAAGAGGGGAAAAAAGCAAACACTTTGTTTCAAAGGTAGTGGGAGTGGGGAATGCCAATCCAAAATAAGGTCTGTTGCATTATTAAAAGTCTGGATTGTCCTTAGGTCATTCTATAAATTGTATTAATCTGAATAAAGTTTACTCTTGAATTTAGGCTACAAACCTAAAACGTAATCTTTTTCAAAGGAGAAAAACGCGTAAGTTCATGGAGCTCCTGGTGCACACCACTCTCATAGGTGAACCCCTTGGTTAAGTTATTCTACCTTGACTTCCCCCCACCAAAAAACAAACAAATAACAAAAACAAAAAAAAAATAGCTCACAAGCCCCTATCAATGCATCTATATCAACTTATCAGGCACAAGACATATATGAAAGGCATTTAATGAAATAGCATAGAAAGAAAGAAAAAACTTCCCAAAAAAAACAGGGGCACATTCCTTCCAAAATGCACACATCATCAGTGGGAAAAGGGGACATAACTAGTCAACACATGGATGAACATATATATACAAACAACATGTGGACTAAGTACATGTGTGGAAGCATACACATAAGGAATACTGGTATCCATGATACATGAATAGAAGGGCAACTCATGCCTACATTATTGGGCTGCTAAAGTTTTCTGGTAATGTCATTGCATGGCTCCTGCTAGACCTCTTCCATCTCTCTCCTCTCTTTCTCAGTTAAAACCCTAGAAAAAGCCATCTATGCATGGTCCATCCATTTACTCTGCTTTGATTTTCTTCTAAATCTTTGGTAATCTGGCCTCTATCTCCATCATTCAACTGAAACTGTTCAAACCAAAGTTGTCAGTGTTCTCTTAATTCCAGAGCTAATGGCTTCTTCTCAATCCATATCTATCATGGCCTCTCTACATCTGACACCTTTAACCAATATCCTCCTAAATATTCTCTCCTCTCTAGGTTTTTGTGCCACAATTCTCTCTCTTGGTGCTACTCCTACCTGGCTGATCACTCCTTCTCAGTCTCCTGTGCTGGATCTTCCTCCATGGCATGTCTACTCACTGTTGGTACACCACAGTTTCATCCAGGGCCCTCATCTCTTCTTTTCTCCATATATTTTCTCACTTGGATCTCATCAGGTACCATCGATTCAATGATCATTTTTATCTAGATGACTCCCTGGTCTATATCCTGTGTTACTCTTTCTGCTGAGCTTCAGTTCCACATCATAAGCTATCTCTTGGACATTTTTAACTACATGGCTTGTAGGCATCTCAAGTTTGATGTGTGCAAAAGAGAACTCATTTTCCCCACAAAACCTAGCCCTCTTCCAAACATCTCTATTTTGGTTGAGGGCATGACCATACCTTTCAAAGCCTCCATTTATAAAGTGAGGGAATTAGACCTAATAGACTCTCAGGTCCCTTAGAGCTCTACATCTATGACCTTTGATCTTTTCAATTACCCACATTTACAACTTTGGTGTCATCTTTTAGATGAGAGATCACCCTACCTTCTTTCTCCACTTCATATCACAAATACATCTCCTTCCTTCATCTCACATGGTCACCACTCTCATTCAGACCCTCATCACCTCTTACCTGGACTATAGCAATAGCCTCCCAAATGGCTTCCCTGTCTCACATCTCTACTCACTCTAACCTAGCTTCCACACAGCTGCCAAAGTGATTTTCCTAAAGTGTGTGATTGTCATCCCCTACTCCAAAATTAAGAAATTCCAACTGCTCCCTTTTACCTCTAGGATCAAATATTTTAAAAAATATAAAAATCCTCACTTGGCATTTAAATTCCTTCAGATCCTAGTCTTTTCCTATCTTTCTGCACTCCTTACACATTACTCCCCTCCATGTACTCAACAATCTGGCCACACTTGCTGTTCCTCGTGTAACGATGCCCCAATTCCCATGTCAGTCCACTGGCCTGGCACTGGCTATCTCTCATACCTGGAATGTTCTCTTTCCTTGCTTCTCTATCTTAGAGTCCTTGGCTCTCTACACAACTTAATTCAAATGCCCCCTTCTGCAGGAGGTTTATCCCAGTCATCCAAGGTTAGGGCTTTCTGCTCCAAAGTTAGCTTCCATCAAATCTGTAAGTATCTTATGTGTACCTTTTTACATACATGCTGTCTCCCCCATCAGAATGAAAGTACTTTGAAGGCAGGGATAGATAGCTTTTGCTTCCTTGTACCTCCAGCACTCAGCCTAGTGGAGCACAATTGGAGCTTAATAAGTCCTTGGTGACTGATTTCATTTGGCATTTATTGTCTGGTGGGTGATGCTCCACTCGTCTTGTGGTTTCTGCTAGGCAGGGCTAGGTACGTTAATAATGATAATAATTAATAGTAGTTAGATTATATATATATATATATATATATATATATATAATATCCTTTATATCATTTCTAAAATTATCACTTTACAAATATTAACTCATTTGATCCACATGACAACTTCGGAAAGTAGATACTACTGTTAGTAGGTTAGCCCCGTTTTAAGAGGAGGAACTGAGGCAGCCAGAGGTCGTGACTTGCTCAGGGTCACATATCTGAGGAAAGATTAAAACTCAGGTGTTCCTGACTTCAGGCCCAGGGCTCACTCCACTTTACCACCCAACAATCTCTAGAAAAATCTGTCCATTCCCAGAGTTTTCACTTTAGATGCTTTTCTCTTCAGAAGAACATTCTCCTATTCCATTCTCTTGGATCATGGTACAGTAAGCCTTTAAAAGTTATAGATTCAAGGAGCAGAGAGAATGAGACAATTTGGAATTTGCTGGAGAAGATGGGCTGATGAAGCCCTTCCAGATCTCCCCAATTGCTGGTACCACTCCTCCCAATCTACTTTATATTTTAATTATTTTGTATTTATTTCTATTTATTCTCTTCATAGCTATTCTGCATATGCTTATTACAGATTTGTTGTCTTCTCCCACAAAAATGTAAACTCCTGATTAGGGATTATTTCATTCTTTATATATGTCTCTCCAGTGCCTGGCACACAAGAAGTGCTTAATAAATTCTTGCTGCTTGCTACTTCAATTTAAAATCTTCAGACTATGGCATTCCATGATTCACAGGCGCATAACATCTCTAGAAAAATGTTAGTGTTTAAGAAATGGGCCCTTGTTTCAGGGAAAATTCCATATGGGGTCATTAACTTTGAAATTCACTAGCTCACTCTCTACTTGTAGTGTCTTTCTAAAAGATATGTATCAATGAATCAGCCCTTCACCTATGTCCATCTGATATGGATACAATATAGGGTGCCCTAAGAGTGAAAAAGAATATTAAGGGTTGCTTTTCCAGGACTTTGTGAAGCCCTTCCTGAGGGAGTTGGGACTCATTCTTTAACTTGAGGGTGTCATCAAGTCCTTTTCCCTTTATCTTGAAATACCATAAGACTTCTCCTTATCTTGTAAGACCAAAAGAATTGCTTTTTTCCCTCCTTATCCTGTGTCTCTCTCTTTCTTTTCCTGTC